AGCTCCAGGACAGGCTGCGCGCTGTGCTGCACCCGTCTTCACTGCTGTTTGACGAGACTGTGTTGGAAGATCCACTGGTGGTTTTCCACGAGAAAGTGCACACATCACGGGTAAGCCAATTGGATTTGGTGATGGATTTGTATTGTATGACATTGAGATGTGCCTAGCTCTACTGAACTTATTTACCTTTCCTTTCGTGCAGTTTCAAATATTGTTCAACGCGTCTGAAAAGGCCAAGAAAGTGCCTCTTCCAACATATGTGCAGTTTGAACTAAATCCTGACCATCAAATTGTACCCAACTTACATCTGATACCAGATGGCAGGTGCTGAAGTGGAAGCTTTATGGAAAATGAAAGTTCAGTGTATTGTCTGAAAACCTCTCTCTGTGCAGAATAGACGGGGCAGACCTCATTTTCTTCGTGCTGCAGAGGGAACTAGAAACAGGATGAAAGAAGACAGGATAAAAGAGGGCGTACTGTTAAGATTAGAGACGTTCTGCAAAACGAAAATGTGTACGAAGTTTCGCAACGGGCCGTACGAAAATTTGTGCGAATTTTCACACGAACTTTGTATTCTACACATTTTCACAGTTCATAAGCGGCCACATGCAATATGCACTTGGTGAACCCATTGACCACTTTCGGTCTCACGAAACTTCCCACGAAAGTTCATTTCGCACTTCATGCAAGTTTCGCGTCCGAAGTTGGGAAAGTCCGTGCGAAGTTTCTCACTTCATGACATAGACACAAAGTTTGTATGGATTTTCGTTTTGCAAAACCTCTCTATTGTGTATGTGACTGTGCACTGAGGTGAGGTGGGTGGAAGAGCTACACTGCTTGACTGGTGGCATGTTTTGCCGTATTCTCTTGCTGACAGGTCTTCATTCGTGGTGTCACCACTGTAGCTCCATATCAGCTTTTGCTTTTCTGCGGCCACTTGCAAGCCATCCACCAAGATAACTGCATTATCGTGGTAAGGTCACCGTCATTGGTTTAATGCATCCCATCTAGCATGCCAGTAATGAGTTGAGTGCTCTTCTTATTGCCTGGCTGAACTCTTCTCTTGTTTAGCTTATGCTGGTTAGCAGCTGGTATAACCCATGCACTGTTTGTGCTTCTGCTGTTTGAACCGGACAGGACAACTGGCTGCGTTTCCAAGCGCCCGGCCATGTGGTCAGCCTGTTGTTGCAATGTCGCCGAGTGCTTGATCAAGAGCTGGCCCGTAAGCTACGGCAACAGGACTATGACATTGTCAGCAGCCCCCTGATGTCGGCGGTTGTTCAGCTTCTCTCTCGGGATGGAGTTTGAGATAGAGCAACAGGAGGTCCACTCAGCTACCTGTCTTGTCTACGTTGATGTGTGTGGAGGTTGATATGCGCGCAGAATGTGGTTGGGTGTCTTGACTGACACCTCTGGCAAGCGTGCAATGAGTTGCCTGGTATTGGCTGGCATGTCTGTATGCAGGAGGGGCAATCCGATTCGTTTTCTAGCCAACATGTGTACACGAGCATAGGCGTGATCTGGTGCTATTGCCTGTGTGGGTCACGGACAAACACCATACATGGACCCTGACACCATGACACCATGTACCTTGCCATCCCGTAGAATTGCTGAGCTTGAGCTTTTTTTTTCATTCGTTCAGATCTTCAGTCTTACGGCTGCCTTGCAGAAATCCAACTTCATGAACCGTTAGTTTATGTGCAATGTGCTACTGGAACACTCGCTTTTCTCAGCTCGTCGGAATTTATATTTTGTTTCACGCTCCATGATGTTGGGTCCTCACGTCCCCAATTTTGTTAACTTATGTGTCCACACATTCCCTTATGTGTCCATGTCTTTGTTTCAACAGAACTATGAAGATTCCTGTCTGTTATTTATGTCTACATAATAGGTGCTTTTGGCTTGTACTGAAAAGTTGTAGCCTTTGGAGGTGCTGGTCGCCCCACTGTTCTCAGCATAATATTATTGCAACATGCCCCACTGTTCTCAGCATAATATTACTCCAACATCCAGACCACTGGTCACTCTGCTGTACATTTGTTTGTACTGTCATTGTCATGTCTTTTGGTCATAAAACGTGAAAACACAACACAAAACTGAGCCGGTAAAATAACTACATCACGATTGGCTGTTGCCTGTCGGGAGAGGACCTATTGCCAAACAAACTATTGCGACAATACTGGCGTCGAATTCTACACAAGTATCCATGGGGCCACTGGGAGGCTGGTAGAAACAATAAAATTAAAATCAAGAACCCAAAAGAATAACGGAAAGGATTTCATGACATACTTCTGAAGTATGATGAGCACGTGAGGCAGTGCAACTTTATAGTCTAAAAATATAAAGAAACGGACCAGCGTAGAGAACACAATAATTGATCAACACATGGGCCAGCTGATTGGTGACAGCTCAGACTGCAGCACTCCGTTGCCTGCAGCATGCGATAGCAGCCGATTGCCAGTGGGGGATGTTGCCATCGTCAGGTAGTCAACCCGACGCA